AAAAAAAAAAAAAAATCCAGCCTGGGCAACATTGCAAAACCCCATCTCTACAAAAAATACAAAAACTAGCCACTCATGGTGGCCCACGCCTGTAGTCTCAGCTACTTGGGAGGCTAAAGTGGGAGGATCACTTGAGCCCAGGAGGCTGAGGCTGCAGTGAGCCCAGATTGTGCCACTGCATGCTCCACCCCGGGTGACAGTGAGACTCATCTCAAACACAAAAAAAGTGAATGAAGTTCATTACTAAGTCAGACTATACCACTGCAGCTGGGTCCACACTCAGGAAACTCACTCCATAGCCAAAAAGCATTAGAGAATGTCTCTGGGCCCCTCTGTGTGTATTGGCGTGAGCAGCAGGAGTGCTGCACAGATCTGCAGGCAGCTGGCAAAACCAACGCACCTACCCTTCCCTTGTACCCCTTGTCCTCTCTCTGAGGCACAGGCTAAGTTCCATGTCTGGCTCTCTTTTTGTCTCTTGATTGTTTATTTAGTTACTCAACAAATGCTTGGAGACCTTGGTGTAGGCTGGGCTGGCATGGGGGCATGGAGAGGTGATTCAGGTTCTTCCTTCCCAAGTTCACAACAGACAGAGAGAGAGAGGCAGGACAGACAGACAAAGCAGCACATTCCTCGCAATGTGACAATGACACCCAGGGGAATGTGCTAAGGAGAGGAGCTGAACCGGGCAGAGGAGGTTTCCCCCAGGAGATGAGCTGGGCATTACAGACAAAGTAGGAGGGGCCAGGAAAGGAAGGGACACAAACCATCCCAACCCCTGGATGAGGGGAGCAAAAGCTTGGAACCAAAAGAGAAGGCTGTTCCAGAGGCTGCAGAGTATGGGCACCCAGGACTTGAGTGTCGCTGGGAACTTGTCTCTTGTCCCTGCCTGTCTCTGTCACTCAGTGATCTGTCTATGCCCCCCAACACTTCCAGAGGAGAAGCACTCCCCTCTGCTTCCATGCAGGACTGCCGTGTCTGGAGGAGGCTGGCCCCTGTGGTGGCCACCATGTCACAGTGCCCTGAAGGAATTCAGCTCACAAAAGAAGTAGGGAAGGGGAGAATCAGGGAGGGGACCAAAGGAGTGTCCTGCCCTCAGACCTTGCCTCCACCTCTTCCTGCTAGCTGAGGTCCTAAGAGCTGGGCGTGGCCAGAGAAAGCAGGGCAGGTCCAAGAGCAGGCTTGGAGCCCAGCCTGAATTTTGAAGCAGCTGCCTCCCTGCTCCCCATGCCTGGGAGGAGGCCACTCCCCTCCCTCTTCCCCAGTGGCCTGATTCCAGCCTTTACCTTTTCTGGATCCCCACCCACTTTGAGAGTCATAGGTGTTATGTTATGTTATGGCTCCCAGAAAAATGTGACCCTCTGGGTGCACACACAATTTCTGGGGTTTACAGAGCCCCTGAAGCCCATTCAAAGAACCCTTGGGGGACCTCTCGTTAAGAAACCCCTGGTTCAGGGATTAAGGGAACAGGCTTGAATCAGAAAAAGAAACAGTGTTCCAATCCTGATTACTCCAAAACAGGCTGTGCGACTCTGGATGGGTTACTTAACTTCTCTGGGCCTCATTTTCCTATTACATAAAATTGGGGTAAGAGCAGTAGCTACCTAGAAGGATTGTGCGTAATAAATGAAATGAATAAACTGTTAGCCTGGAGCCAGGCACAAGGTAAGGGCTTATGGTATTTATTGTCATGGTTATTGTTGCTGTTACTGCAGACAGTGGCCCAGGGCAAAATGTAAAAACCAAGCGGGCAGTCCTGGCTCAGCCTGGGTGGCAGGAGGCCGTCTATCATAGTCCACTTCTATAGCAGAAGAATCGCTCCGAATTCAGTGTAGCAGGTCATCATGGGACAAAAACAACAATAACAACAACAACAGTAAAGGATCTGCACTGCTGGTCAAGTTAACTTGTTTCGAGCGCTGTCAGACGCTTTTCTCTAAAGGAACTCTAGCCTGAGAGGCAACTGCTGGTGCTTACACAAATAATCTGGAAATGAATGGGGCTACCAAAACAATCCAGATTGAATCCAATGGAGCCTTTGGGGGTTTAAGTGAATTATTCTCCTGTGTTAGGGATTAACTTGTTTTGTTTGGGTCTGCAGGGTCCCCTTATTGTGGCAATTCATGAAATGCTCTTTCCCTCCTCTTTGTCTGAAATATTCCCTAAACTGAGGGCAAGCAGATTTTTGGCAGAATCATCTCTTCCCTATCCACTGAGATAGAATAAACCTGGACCCTGACTGTTTAAGCAGCAAACAGGAATTCAGGATCCGGGTAGCGTGTAGATTAGGCTTTGAAGACAGGTATTTCCTCTGTGGAGGAAAATATCAGCTGCTTTCAGCTCCAGGTGACAGGATGCAGGCCCAGCTGACTGGGGATGGGGAGACCCCCAGAGTGTCTGCCTTGCCCCAGCACAGGGGCTCAGGAGGGGATTGGGTGGAAAGATTGGAGCCTGATCTGTCAGGGCAGGCTCTCCCCCACCGACCCCGTGCTCCTCATTTCTGGAATCCTTTTAATTCTAAACTCCTCTGAGGGGCTCAAATCATCCTCCTCCACATTGCACAATCATGTATACCCTATTTGCTCTATGGGAAGTCATTCAACCAATATTCAGCGGAAGCCCCGGTGTCTCCCAGAACTTCGAAGGTCCGAGATGAACCGGAGTACCCAGATGAAGTTTCCTGCTCTCAGGTCTGGCAGGGGAGGCAGGTAGGGGTCAGTACACAAACCTGAAATATATGTCATGGCTCTGCAAGAGGGGTACAAGAGGCAAGCGGGTTGGGGTCCCAGGAGTTCAGAAGATTCCAGCCCCACCCCCCTGGGGTTTTCCAGCAGTGGAGGTAGGGGTTTCCTGGGCTGGGAAAATGTTGGTAGGGCAGTTGGACTGGTTTCCAAAGGTGGCCTGGATAAGGGGATCTGGGTGAATCAAACTAAAACAACAAAAGGCAGGGTGGTACCACAGGCTTCCCCACATCGCACACCTCATGCCACACCCCACGCCCCCAGCCATATGGTGTGCCCAAGTGTGTTTAGCCAAGAGGCCAACCGATTAGGCCAAAAGAGCCAAGCCATAGGATTGGGCAGCAGGTACAGGCCAGCCAGGGAAGAGTTGGTGACAGTGGTGGAAGTAATTTAGCAGATGATTGTGAAATGTCCTGTTCCTTTTGACGTGGTGTGACTGAAGACTAAAGGTCTCAATACCAGCCAGCAGGATAAGACACGAAGAACAAGCCAAGTAGAAGGACCCCTCTGCTCCCCAGTTCACATTCCTCCCCTTCCTGTCAGCTTCTCAGTAACCCTGAACTCCGCTGGTCTTGAGGGTCTGGGAGATGGGCAACAGCAGGGGCTTTGCTTGTCCTTAAAGTCCTATCCTGTGGGCTAGTACCAGATGCAATGCAGAGACTGAAGAGGACAGAAAGAGTGTGGAAGTATGGGAGGAACTCTCTCCCTCCCCTTTCTCTCTCTCTCTCTCTCTCTCTCTCTCTCTTTCTCTCGATTGGGATCCAAAGGTCCTGGCTCCTGGATCTAAACGGGTCTCCCTGCCTCCCTGCTAGCACTGGGGGTGTCACTTGCCTGAGCCTCTGGGTCAGGGGTTTGGGGTTATGGCAGGAAAAGGCTGAGGTGGGATCCTGAGGGTAGGAAGTGAGAGGAGACAGACCCCTCTTGGCCCCAGAGCTTCCAAGCCACCCAGGTTCAGCTCCCTGGTGCCCTCTCCCTCTGGTCCTTCTCTGACTGCCGGTCTCTAGGCTCTGACTCCACGTTTGCTAGGTCAGCATCACCTAGTGGCTCCCAGGGCAGCAGGGAAGCAGCAGAGACAGGTCTGCCCTGGGGTGGGTCTGCAGCTCTGAGGGAACTGTGATTCCCATTCTCACCAGTCCTGCCTCTGAGGACTTGTCATCTCCCCATTCGCTTACCCCCACCCTGAAAAATGCAGGACAAAGATGAGTTTCCAGAGTGGGAGTTCTTCTCAACCCTCACGGCACTGGGGCACCAAACAGGAACCCTTTCTCCCGACACTGTCCCTTTTACACCAGAGAGCTGCCAGCCATGATTCCAAACAAACAAGTGAATGCCAGATCATGAAACCTATCTCCGCTCTGCAGAGGCATCCAGAGAGAGCCTTCCTGCCCCACAGCCCAGCTTGGCTCACTCTCTCTCTAGGGTTAGAGATGAGGGGTGACAGGGCAAGAAATTCTAGTCTTGCCATCCCAACCCCTGTCCTGGGCCATAAGTTCTCACATTGGCCTCTCTGGGCTCTTTTCTGGTCCAAGCGGTGCTGCCCAACCCACAGCCCACCCACCCAGGAGTTTACAAACAAAGCCAGGGCCGGGGCTGTGTGGGGGGCTGTGCGTGTGGAGGGGAACAGCTTTTCCTTTCTGGACTCCAACCCCCTCTAGGTCCTCCCCTCCTTTCTCCAAGGGCAGAAATGGAAAATTAGTAAGGAGGCCAGTGGCCCCACATAAACCAAATGGGGTAGCAAGAGAGGAGGGCCTGAGGGCACAGCCCTGCTGGAGTGCCTCAAGGAAATGAAAGAAATAGCTGAGTTCAAACCACCTATATACCCACGGGTTCACATGCATTTACACAAATATACACATGGAGAACCACACACAAACACATTCAAAAATACAAACACCATCAAGTAACAATGCACACAACACGCTCTGTCGATATTCACAGATCCCAGGCCCAAAGGTCCCTAGTCCCAGCCTAACTAGAAGCCCGGCCTCCCTGCGAGTTCCTGAGAGCAAAGCCCCAACCACCGCCTGGCCCCCGCCCCGCATCCGGAACAGCTGGAGTCGGCCTGGCGGTACACTCTAGCCCGGCACTGGGCTAGGCGGGGCCGGCAGCAGGGCCCCGGTCGGGGCCCTGGCGGAGCGCAGCGGGGAGGCACCGAGCCGGCCCCGTTAGCTCCGGCATCTGGCCCGGCTACCCGTCAGACGCCCATCATCAGGCCAACGGTGGCCCCAGCCAGCCTGGGGAGCGGATGCTGGAGGAAAGTGTGCAAGATTGCCAGAGGAGGTAGGGCGGCCGCTTCGGGAATCAGGCCGGGAAAGAGGCTCCCAGAGCCACCAACAATTCTCTCCTCTGCTTCTCCGCGTGGAGAAGGCTCAGCTGCCCAACTAGCCCCCTCCCCCAACCCCTGGGGTCCCCCACCCCCTTCCCGCGTCGCCCACCCAGGGCTGCCGAGCCGACTCTGACCTCCTGAGGGCCAGCCCAGAAGGGCTTCAGATTCCCTCTCCCCAGGCGAGTCACCCAGGCAGTGGGGTGATGGGCAAGAGGGTCACGGGTAGAGGAGCTGGGCTCTTGATCTCAGCTCCGCAAAGTCCACTCTAGGCGGCTCCTGGTCTTACCTGGCCCGCGCGGCGGCCGCGTCCCTCCCAGGCTGGGGTTCCCGCTACCCTTTCGGGCTCCATATCCCGGGTCGGAAACACGGAGACCTTCGGGCCGGTGCTGTTTTTGCAGCCAGGCCGGCGGGAGGAGGGTGCGCCAGGAGCTCGGCTAGCAGTTTGGGGCAGGGGCGGTGGCTTTTCCGTTGCCCGAGGTTCGGGTGCAATAAAGGGGCTGCTAATGTAATTTACAAACAGCTCGGGCCGAGCGAGGCGCGGCGCCGGGACTGACAGGCGCATTAGGCAGGCTAATTCCAGCCGGCTCCTCCTACCCCCGGACCGCTAATTAATGAGCTTCCCAACTTAGAGCCGCCTGCATTGGACAGACAGAGAGTGAAAGAGAGGGTGAGGGAGAGGGAGAGAAGGAGAGAGACGGGGGGAGCAGAGAAGAGAGAGGGAGGGAGGGAGGGAGAGAACAGGAGAGAACAGAGAGAAAGAAGAGAGGAGAAAGGGAGAAAGGAGAGAGAAAGAGAGAGTAGTGCCGGTGGAGATAATTGATTACACCTCGATCAAGGCTAACTTGTTAGCAATAGTCAATTGCCCCGTCTCTCCGTCTCCCTCGCAGTCCGGGATCGGCGCCCTCGCCTCGGTTCTTCCAACTGCGGCCGCCAGGACCCGGGGCCAGGAGCCACTGCGAGCCACCTGACACCTTTAAATAGCACCGGGGCTGGCGAAACTGGAGCCCCGCGCAGCGCGACCCGGCTCCGGCCCCGGATTGCTGCAAGCCCGGGCAGCAGCGGCGCCCGCGTCAGCACCCTCCTCCCGGGGCCCTGCGCTGTTCTGCCCGCCTCAGCTGCCGCGCTAATCGGCCCCGCGCCCGGCCCGCGTCCTGCCCAGTGCGGCCTCCTTCCCACCAGCCGCCTCCCGCCAGCGCCGTCCGGCGCTCGAGCTGCCCGAGGGCTGGGTCCCCCCGGCCCCAGCAGCCCAGGCCGGGCCCCCGAACGAGGCCGAGATGACTTCCAAGGAAGACGGCAAGGCGGCGCCGGGGGAGGAGCGGCGGCGCAGCCCGCTGGACCACCTGCCTCCGCCCGCCAACTCCAACAAGCCACTGACGCCGTTCAGCATCGAGGACATCCTCAACAAGCCGTCTGTGCGGAGAAGTTACTCGCTGTGCGGGGCGGCGCACCTGCTGGCCGCTGCGGACAAGCACGCGCCGGGCGGCTTGCCCCTGGCGGGCCGCGCGCTGCTCTCGCAGACCTCGCCGCTGTGCGCGCTGGAGGAGCTCGCCAGCAAGACGTTTAAGGGGCTGGAGGTCAGCGTTCTGCAGGCAGCCGAAGGTAGGCGCAGCTGCTGGATTCCCCTGCACCCAGCGCCTGGCGCCCTGTGCCCTGAGCGCTTCGTGCCCTATGCCTCTGCTCGCCTCTGCCCGCCTCTGCCCGCTCCGGCCACCAGGGCCTTCTAGCCTGAGCAGCTGCTTATGGGAGTGAAGATAGATGGGACGGAACCCAGTCCTTAATTCCTAGGGGCCTCTGGGTAGGCCAGAGTTGGGGGGTGGCCGGAGAGGGGTGGCCGGAGAGAGGAACCCAACCTCTCTCCGCAGTCTGCGTGCTTTGCCGGGCTCCCTTGCGTTCTCTGTGTCCTGGGAGCTCTTAGCCCAGCTACTCGGCGTGAGAGTCTTTTGCTGGGACCTTCTGGGTAAGGCAGGTTTAAATGATTGGGAAGGGATGGAGAACCAACATTCACATCGCAATTAAGGTGTCCCTGTCTGGCTTTCTCACACTCTCAGAGACTTTGGGTCTTTCCAACCAACTCTTAGGTAGTGGGCAGAGACCAAAACAATTTTTCCTAGGGACTTCTGGGAGACCAAAGACAGAAGGTTTGCCGTAGCCAAGGCTTGCCCTGGTCCTGGAGGCCGAATTAAATCTGAGAAGGGAACATTGGTAGACTGCAGGCCAGACAGGCCTGGGTGGGGTACGGAGTTATGGGGGGAAGAGCCAGGGTGGGGCTTCCTCTCTCCCAACGCGAGCCTACACTGTCCTTTCCTCCCAGGCCGCGACGGGATGACCATCTTTGGGCAGCGGCAGACCCCTAAGAAGCGGCGAAAGTCGCGCACGGCCTTCACCAACCACCAGATCTATGAATTGGAAAAACGCTTTCTATACCAGAAATACCTGTCCCCCGCCGATCGCGACCAAATCGCGCAACAGCTGGGCCTCACCAACGCGCAAGTTATCACCTGGTTCCAGAATCGGCGCGCTAAGCTCAAGCGGGACCTGGAGGAGATGAAGGCCGACGTAGAGTCCGCCAAGAAACTGGGCCCCAGCGGGCAGATGGACATCGTGGCGCTGGCCGAACTCGAGCAGAACTCGGAGGCCACAGCCGGCGGTGGCGGCGGCTGCGGCAGGGCTAAGTCGAGGCCCAGCTCTCCGGTCCTCCCCCCCGGCGCCCCGCAGGCCCCGGGCGCTGGCCCCCTGCAGCTCTCGCCTGCCTCTCCGCTCACGGACCAGCCGGCCAGCAGCCAGGACTGCTCGGAGGACGAGGAAGACGAAGAGATCGACGTGGACGATTGAGCGGCACTCCAGGTCTTCCGCTGCCCTGGGTTCCTAGCGCCCGCAAGCCCACCACCTCACGGACCGGACCGCCAAGGGGAGCTGGGACCTCCTCTGCCAACTCCCGCCTCCTCCCCAGTCCCCGGCCCCGGACTCGGCTCCTGGCAGCCGCCTCTTCCCTCACGAAGCAATAAACCCGGGCTGGCCGGCCGGGCCGGCTGCAGCCAGCGGCCTCCGCCGCCCCGGAAGCCCTCGCCGTGCAATTCTGTATGGCTTCTGTATAAATATTTAAACCTATATAGCGGGTTCTTCCCACCGCAGCCTGATTTTTTCTTTCTTTTATTTTTGTTTTTTAAATCTCGGAGATTTCGATGTTTTCAAAGCTCTCGGGCTGCCGGGATTGCTGAGGGCGAGGCAGAACCCAGGGCTGCGAACACTGACCCTGCAGTCTAGAGGACGGGTAGCTCCGGCTGTTTTGATTTTTCTCTGCATGTGGCGAATGCACCGGCCCGCTCCCTCCTTGCCTCCCGCGGCCTATTGCAGTTGACTTCTATTTCCTCCTGCCTTTTTTCCTTGAGTGGGAAGGGGATGAGGGGGGCAGCCGGGTCCTGACTTGCAAGTTTCAAAATTGATCTTTCCTCCCCACCCTCTGAGAGAGAAGTCTGTTTTCAATGCCATTTCTGCCTCCTAATGCCCACTAATGCTATTTTTAAGATTCTTTCCTCCCTCTGCATTTCCTCGGACTGACTGTTGGAGTCCGGCTCTTAGGGACAATGCAGGGGGAAATCCAACCAACCAACCATCGAAAACAGAACCCAAAGCCCTATAATTATTTTGTACTCTTTTTAGAATTTTTTTGCATGTGACAGAGACAGAGAGGAGGCCGACCCAAGCCCTCACCCCACCTCCTCCGCAGCTCTGGGTCTCCCTTGACACCTTGAACACCCCACTCCTAGCTCGACTTGGCCCGAGGAGGGTGGCGGGATGAGGGTGGGTTGCGAGTGCCCCTTCCCTGCTCCTCCCTTGCCCTCTCCTCCCCAGACTGTACCCAAGGCCTCTTTCTCCAATAAATAAAGTCTTTGCCATTTTACTAGAACCGGCGGCGACCGTGTTTGAGCGAGCGGCCGGTTTCCTAGAAGCAGCGGCAGGCTGGGCTTCTTGCCGCTGCTTCTCGCGGTCGCCCCAGCCTTGGAGGTTTGGGGGGATTTTCAGGGCAGGCTTTAGAGTGAGGGGAGAGGGGGAAGCAGCAGGAGGAGGCGCTTCTGCCCTTAAACCCGAGGCAGCTACTAAATCGGAAAAGATGCGGGCTTCGCCAGGTCGGGGTAAAAAGCGAGCCGTGAAATGCTGGAAGAAAATGCCTGTGTGTGGGGAGGCACACCATAGTACAACATTAATTTGCGTTGAACAAAGGGTGAGAGGGGTGGACTTGCCCTACAGTTCTTGCATCCCACCCCAGACCCACAGGCATTCTCCCTGCGCTCCCTGATAAACAGGCTGAGCCGCGGGATCACTGCAGGTATCACTCAGTTAGACAAGGGGTGGAGCCTTCGGGTTCCCAAGTTTCGGTTCCAGCCCCGAGGGCCTCATCCTTGGGGAGTAGGGGGCGAGAGGCCAAAGGCATCATGGCCAAGCTGAATTGCGAATGTGGGCACCTGGAAATGTAAGCCTAAGCGTCTGGGAGCTGGGGTGAATTTCTGGCAACATTAACAAATTCTGCTTCCCTCCCCCCCCCATTCTGCTGGGGGCAGAGGATTGGATCTTGCAAGCACTCTCTCGGGTCTGCGGTGCCCCAAGGCCGCTTTCACTTTCCCTGACAGAGCAGGATTCTCTCCGGGCTTTTGTTGTCTCTGGGCTGGCGAGTGGCCGCTGTCACCGGAGTGGGGTCCCGCCTCCGGGCCGCTGGGCTCTCTTTCTCCGCAAAATTGATGTGAGAAATGCGCATCTGGTCTCGGGCGGGCAATGGGGCCCCCAGGCCCGAGCCAGGAACGTGCGTGTCCAGGAGGAAACGAAAAGACAGAGAGAAACAGGAAAAAAAAAAAAAATAGGAGGGCAGAAAGACACTCCAAAAGCAGAGAGGGAAAGCGAAGAGCCACAGAGTCAGGACAGAGAGAAAGAAACAGAGAAACGGAGAAAGGGAGACAGAGACAGAGGGAGAAAAAATAATGGGAAGAGAGGAGACGAGAGAGAAGGAGCAGAGAAGGAAGGAGGCGTCAGGGCAGCGGGGCGGGAGTGCTGCCGGTTCCTCCCGGGCGACAAAAATCGCCCTCTCTTAGGATGGATGGGTCTGTAATTCGCAGCGCGGACCATGAAGGCCGGGACGAATGGGCCCGGGCGGCCGCTGACAGGCGACAATAGCCGGGCCCAGCCCCCCGCGGCTCCCGGTGCTCGCACGGCCGCGGCCCTCCGCAGCCCAGAGCGCGCTGGCGCTGGCGACCATATGGTTTTTGAATTTTCTTCACAATTTGTAGACAATTTGATGGATTAGGTCCCCGCGCGCGCCTCCCCGGCACAAAGGCGGCGCAGGGACCGCGGCGGGGCGGTCACCCGGGCATCTGCGCCCGCCGTGCGCCCCCCCCACCCGGCCCCCGCCCAGCGCCCGGAGCCCGGGGCCGCCCGCCCAACACGCTCATGAATCCCAATGAAGCGGCCCTGGCACCTCCGGCCGCTCCCTGCTTCGCGGCCCTGGGCCGGGCCCCACTGAGTCCTTTCGGGCTGGAGGGGGGCAGCCCCAGGGCCCAGCCCACCCGAACTGCGGCGCCCGCGGGGCGCGCAGTTAAGCAGGCGCAACGGGGCTGAGGAGAAACGGGGCCATTTATCCGCCCGTCTAGTTAAAGCCGGTTATTTGTTTGCTTCTCCGACCTCCCCCCTCTCCTCCCCTCCCCCTCTCCTCCCCCGCC